GGTGAATCACTAGGCTTGGACCAAGTGATCTGGACTGAGGTTCGCTGGTTTCCATGCAAATCCTTATCCAAACCTTGCCCCTGCGACCTGAAGTCATGGGTGGACCGGGACCGGGACCGGTGCCTTCCCCCTGATTCTAGGGGTTGAGTCTTTTTCCATTCTTTTCAACCATCGTTCTTGTCACAAAGCTGTTTCCCCTTGGGTTCTGATGGTTTTCTGAAAAGAAGGATCCCTGGAAAGAATTGGGAAGTGTTCTTTTTAGAATGATGAATGCCAGGGTTCAAAGCCCCAAACTCAGGGTTGCCCGAAGGGCACCTAGGGCACCTTACGTCCAGTCGAGTCGGTATCAACCCACCAAAGAACGTCGGGCGCAAGCCGCTTCGCTGGATGAACGGCCCCGGGCGGCCCCAGGATTTTTGCCACGCATCACCCAAAAGGAGACGCACTGGAAAAATTGGCCTCAGAAAATGATGTCTAAAGCTCTCTTGAAGTGGACACAAAAGCAGCCCTACTCACTTACAGATCACATCTTTAGAGAGTCTCCTTTTGGGGGAGCCGCCTATTTGGCTTCTTTTCACGCAAAGAAACATCGCGTGTCTCGAAGTAGGGGGACCCCATGGGCGGTTTTCCATCTTGAAACCCCAGAAAGCGTACCCCCCCAAAAAAGTTCACACCACAACTCCAGGGTTGCCTTTATCTCAAAAATCGAACTGAACGGATGTAAATGCACTTGGGATTGTCTTCTTTTTCTGGGGTACCCCCCCACCAAAATCAGGGAGTGGGGTTGCCCTGACGGGAAGAACCGGAAGCCGTTCTCCAAAAAAGCCCCCCACTTCCCTGAGACCCTCAACCGAGCTGCTCCCAGAAGTCGAAGCAGCCCCTGCGAGGGTTCCAGCGCAACTGAACCTACAAATGGGGCCCAACGTGAGCTTTTATGGTCAAAAAAACAAGGCGACGGTATGGAGTAGCATCCAGCTGTAGGTTTTTATCCAACTCGTAACTTCGTGGCTTTGTGGATTGCGGTTGGTTGCTTCACCTTTCAAAATCAGGGTCTCTATATGGGTTTCTCACAACAGGGAGACCCCTCAAAAAAGCTGCTGGAGTTCCTTTCAGTTTCCCTGAGAGAAACAGGCTTCCTCCCGAATAACATAGAACAATCATTATCCGAAAACCGATTCCTCAGTGACTTTCAGCGTTTCGTTTGTGACATCCTAGGTTTGGCTTCCCTTTAGAAGCAAACCTTTTGTTCCGCCTATTTGTTGGTTGAAACATTCCACGTGTGCTTGACAATCTGCTTTTGATTTTTCGTTTTCCTCGCATCAGACCGCATCCAATAATCAACCTCCTTTTGGCTTGGGCTTGGGCAATCAACTTGAAAGCCAATCTACCTGAACCTCTGTTCTCAAATATGGCTCCTTCAACCACCTCCTTCCCCTCCCTTCAAACGAAAACATGTTTGCGGGAAACAACCCATGTTGCGACACGTTGTCAGGCACAGCCTGAAGTCTCCAACATTAATCAACACCCTGCCCTCTTTCTCAAAACTATGGAAGTAAACGTCCGGCCTTCTCAAGAGGACAGTCTCCCGTCAGCCGACATGGTTGTTGGAACAGGGGGAAGATGTTTTCATTAAACAATACAACAACAAAGTCGTGCAAATCCAAGCTTTGGTCTGTTGGAAAAATGGTAGCTTCAACATAAACATTACCCCCTCCCTGCCAAAGTTCACTTTTGCCGACAACCCCGGAAAGCACAAGGCCTTTGAGGGCCTTTAAACGCGTCCGTTCAGTCTTGGAACAATCCCATGTCTCAGAGCCATGTTCAGATGCTGTCAAAGCCCTTTGAAAGCCCCGAGCGGCAAAGAGCATAGGATGTTTTCAAGAGCCTTTCTAACTCCCCCCAAATGGCCAAGGACCATGACTCACTTCCGATCGAGTGGACTGTCCAAAACCAAGAAACCAAACCGTTCCTATACCCCCTGAACTGCTCGAAACCCGAAAAAGGTTGCGCATCAAGGCGGAACCAATCGGGAGTGAGTTCAGCTGCTCCGTTCACGTCGACCTCACCCTCCGTTGCCGTCCGTTGCCCTCCGGACCCGAAGCTGGGATCGCCTGGCGCTGCGCCCGAAGAGATCCTGCGGGCAGTTGGGCTTACCACCCACCGTGGCCACTTGGAAGGCCAGGCGGCAGAAGACCTGCGCCGAGCTCCGATCGCTCGGCTTGTTTGGGGGGGGGGTTTGAGGCGCAGTGCCCTGGTTGGGTGGTTTGCCGGGCTGGAAAGCCTCTTTTTTGTCATTGGTGGGTTTCTTGAAAGGAGAAGCCAAAAGAACACCCACGCATGTTTGTGGGCTTAGTTCCTTTTGGCATCCCTTTCACACCAAGCCAAAAGGCGCTTTTCGCCTCAAAGGGAACCACCCCCAAACGGGGTGGTCTGGTCTGATGTGGCCCAAAGGAGTGCACTTGGGCGGAGCTTCCTGGGTTCACCACTGGGTCTAGGCTGGGAGTGAGTGTATTTCCCTGTGTACTTCTTCCTTTTTCGCAACCACATCCACTGTTCATTTCCCAGACGATGTTTTAAAGCAGGAATCGACGTGAGTGGCTTCTCCTATGGCTTCCCTTTCCAACCATCTAGCGGCAGACCTGCTGTTTCTTCCAAAGCCAAACTGAGTCTTTGTTTTACGTGACCTTACCAGGGCTCATCCTTGCTTTTGAAGCCCGCTAAAAGCGACAAATAGGGACCTCTGCTTCCGAGGCTTGGGAAATGTCGGGAAACACTGGGATCCATTCGTATTGTGCCATAGAATGGACAATCAGCATGCACCTGTGGTTGCGACCCTACGCCATGGAACACGTGAAGCAAAGGGACAGCTTTTGCATTGCCTCATCGACTTTAGGACAAGGGATCTGGCAATCTGCCTGCTGACTTCCACGGACTGAGCGAGCTTGCCAAATGGAATGGGCCTCAGAAGACCAACCCCCCCACGCGGGTTCGCCACAAAATTGAAGAAAAGGAAAAATGGAAGCGAGAAGTAAAACCCCCTTTGATTTTCCTAGTTCCCAAGAGGTCAAAAGATAAGCCGTTCCCCTTGCTGCATGTCCCCAATATTGCAAGGAAGCCAACCACAGACATGGACATAGGGTTTCCCGCGCAATATTTGCGTCATCCTTGCATGCGCTCCTTTGCCGGGCCAAAAGGTCAGTTGCCATAAGCTCGCCAAGTGAATGGTCTACCCAGAGCCATGTAAAGAATTGCCGTCCCTGGCCTTTGTCTACCCGAAGGCCAAAAAGTATCCCGCCCCTGCGAGTCCCAAACAAGTCGAAGAAACCAAAGAACAAGCTTAGGCCTTTCCAAAAGGCCCATGGTGTCAAGCCACTTTCACTGAGGCCCCTTAAAACTCAACAATCATACAATTAGTAATCAAGGGATGCGAGTCAATTAGTAAAAGCAGGACCTCGCATCTCATTCCCCACCCCGATCGTCCTTCCAACCCTCCCAGCCCCAGCCACTCGTCCCTCCCTACTCGTGCCCGCGCCTGCGCCGGCGCCGTGCATCGCCGCGCCTCGCTGCGGCGGCACACGTGGGCCGCACGCGCGGAGGTGTCGAAGACCCGCTGGGCCGAGGGAGGGTCCGTGAGCTCCAGCAGCGGCGCCAACTCCGCGCCCAAGGACCGCCTACTCGAAGCTCGGCTCGAGAGGCTGGGGTGCGGCCCCGATTTGTGTGGCGGAAGGTACCCTTGGGGTGGGTAAGGGAAGCCAAAAGGAAAAAACAAAACAGCCAACAATGGAGGAAGCCTGGGACAATCAGTGACTCCCTAACTTGTGTGGTTGTATTTGTTCGAGCACGTCCCGCTTCTCGCTCCTCCCAAATGGATAGACTTGACATGGTGACCGAACCTCTTATGGGTCTGTCTCCCCTAACGGGTGGTGTTTGTTCCTTTTGGTTCCCTCAAACCCTAAAATGGGTACTGAGCCTCAAGAACATGGAGGGACTAAACAATTTCGAGTAGGGAACAAGTTGGACACCCTTTAAATTCAGTCATGGCTTGTTGTTGGTTTGCTTGCAATACTTGGGGCACCCACCGAACCACCCCCAAAACTCGCCGACAGGTCGGAAGCGTTGCCGAGCCGCAGCTCAGCGCAGGTCGACTCGCCCGCGGAGTCGGCCGCGAGGATGAGGAGCCAGGCGACGTTCATTGCTGAACATCGCGGGGTGGGATGCAGAAATCAGATGAATGAAAAAAACAGGCTGAACACAAGATGACCCCAAGATTCCCCCCCCGAAAAATGGCTTATTGCATATAGAATTATGGCGGGTGACTTCCTTTTTGTAAGGGTAGCTGGAGGGTCCCTTTAAAGATACAAGGTGATCATCTGTTGGGACGCTGACTAAAAGTTGCCAAACTGGGCAAACCAAAAGGTGAAACTGTCAGTGTTTCGAGTTGCTCAGGTGCAAAGAGGAGATTCTATTTGGCTGAGGACATTTTTGCTGAACAAATGAACCAGGAAGAAGCGCTACTGAGCTCTGGATGTTGGACACCCAAGGTTTGCAAGGAATAACAAGTCTTTAGGGGTGAGGGGTGTTGGTTGGGGGCCTTTTTTGAAAAGGACAATGGCCAAAAACAAAACTGCACTTGCGACAGTGCAAGCAATGAGGTACTACAAGATCATGATCTCCAGGGCGGCCCTCCAAACAGTAAGACACATCCGACCTACGAAGGAAGTCAAAGCTATGCCGAAAGGGAGCTGCACTTTGGGGGGCAGTGGAATCTTTGATTGGCTAAACACGTACAGGACTTGGGATGTTGTAGCTGAAGCAGCCACTCCAAGAGATGACCGACTCGAACTTGCGATTCATTGAGACGTGAGTTGCACTGTCTGAGCCGTAAAGCTGCCTTATCCCAACGACCAACTCGAAGACGCATTTGCAAAGCTACCAATTGATTTCGGCGGAGCTTGGATCAAGTGAGCGGCTTCAGAACTTTGGAATCCTGGGGTCCGGGCAGGCATTCCGTTCTGCGGTCTCGCACCTCACTTTCAGGTCCAACAGCAACATATATCTTCACGCATGAAGGGCCCCAACCCCTCGAGTCAACAGCTTCAGGCAGAGAACTGACGCATTTCATTGGAGGCCTGTTGCATAAAATGTATGTGCTCTTGTCGCTTCACCTCTAATTGGAACCTAACTTTGCAGGAAGGTCTGAGTCTGGAAATCCTGTCGCCTCGTCTAGGCAGCATCCAACTTCATGTGTGATTTTTAGCACCCTCCAAAACGTTCACGTATTATGTATATGTCCAGTTATGTACACATATATATATATAGAGAGAGAGAGAGAGAGAGAGAGAGCGCGCGGCCCGCCATGGGGCCTGTGTTTTTGAAATCAGCCTTCTTGACACCTTGGCATAGATGGATGCACCTTTACTCGCACATGCGGTATTTGGTGTTTTTTGGAGAAGGCCGCAAGGATCTTTCCTCTCCCCCGCTTTCTTGCAATCAGTATTCTCCAAGGATTCCCTTGCTATTCTCTTAGTCTCCCCCTAAACAATCCTCAGAATTCCCTCAGTATTCCCTTACTTAGTAACCTCCTAGTAATTATGTGTCTAGCATTACCCCAGTGTGCCCCCCTGCTAATCCTCCTGGTAATCTGTGTTCCCCCAGCAGTCCCCTATCATCCCCGCAAGTTCCTTTAGTTCTGTCTTGTTATACCGTTATACCCTCTAGTATCTCCTCAGTGTTCCCCTAGTCACTATTCCCAAGTATATTTTCAGTACTCCCCTATTGTTGTATTCGCCCTTCGTGCTTCCCAAATACTCCCTTAATACCCCTAGCAATCTTCTTTGTATTCTCCTAGTACTCCCCTAATCTATTTTGTATTTTCTTGGTATACCCCTCATCTTCTCTCAGTGTTCAATTTTTCCCCTAGCAGCTTCTTAGTAACTCCCTAGCAGACCCCCTGTAGTCCCCTCAATATTCCCCTACTATTCCTCTAGTATCTTCTTGGTGTACCCCTTAGTATTTCCTCAATGCTTTCCGAGATTCCCTTAACATTCCCCAAGTAGTCTGTAGTCTCCTAGCATTTCATAGTATTCACTGGTGTTCCCTTAATATTCCCCTTACTATTCCTTGAATAGCCCCTATTCCTTTAGAGTTCTCTTACCCCTAGAGTTGTATTCCGCTAGTATTCCCCTACCAGTCCCCTATTTCTTTAGCATTCCCTTACCCCTAGAGTTGTGTTCCCCTAGTATTCATTAATATTGCTCAGTATTTGTCAGTATTTTCTTGGTGTGCCCCTAGTATTCTCCAAATGTCCCCCTAGTATTTTCCAGCATTCCCCTTTGTACTTCCCCTGGCATCCTGCATCTGCGCCCCAGTTTCTGAGTAACAAAGAACTAGGGAAACGCCGAGGGGATAATAAGGGAATTGCTAGGGGAATGCTAGGGGAATACTGGGAGGGAATACTACGAATAAACTAAGAACCATACTAAGGAATGCTGGGGTTACGGGGGAATATTGGGAGAATACCAGAGGGAAGACTAGGACAATATTAGGGGAATACTAGGAAATACAACTACTAGGGGTAAGAGAATGCTAAAGGAATAGAGAATACTAATGGGAATACTGGGGACATATTAAGGGATTACTAGGGAAGTATTGTGAATATTAGGAACATACTAGGGGAATATTGAGGAATATTAAAGGAATACTGGGGAGTGCTGAGAGAACACCAGGGGCAAGAGAATACTACTAAAGGAATATGGCAAGCATTTGGGAATATTGAAGGAACAATGAGGAATTTTCAGGGAATTTTCGGGGAATAGTAAGGGAATGCTATATAATGGAATACTGAAAAAACACGAAAGAAAGACTCGGAAAACACTGAGGGGACAATACGGGAAGTGCAAAAATGTCGGGAAACGCAAACAAACCAACAAAACTAAAACAAAACAACCAAAACCCCCCGAACAAAACCTTGGAGGTACTGGTCATTTCCCCCAGGATAGTTTTTGTTTTTTCATTTTTTTTTAGTTTTCTCGCGGTGTTTTGTTTTTTGCTGGCTTTCTCGAAGTTTGGGACATGTCCCTTTCCAGAGTACGGAGAATGGTGTACTGATGCGAGTTGTTCTGTTTTTTCAGGTATTTCACAAACGCAGGCCCCATGGCGGGCCCTTCTGCATATATATATATATATGGTCACCCCCCCCAGGGCCCACCTTTAACATAAACAACTAACATTTCATGTTTGCAAATATTTGTTACAAATGTTGGGCCTCAAGAAAACACTGTAAAAACCAGTGTTTTTGAAGGTTTTTGTTTCACAGATGCGTTGTGCCTTCAAGAGATGCATCCTTGCAGAGATCAAACTCGAAACCGGAATCTGGTTTCGATTTTGATGTTTATTACTTTGGAAAGTGTGCACCTGCCAGTGTTTTGTAGACATTGGAGTGAAAAAACACTGGGAAACCTTCCATTTTACAGGGGTTTGTTTACCCCTGTGCTCCAAAACCTGCACAGGAACAAAACAAATGGAAGTGGAAGTCCCAAAACCTGCACAGGAACAAAAAAACAAAACAATGGAAATCCTGAGGGAGATCTCCAGGTCAGATGGAAAGTTCTCTCTGAGATTTTCATTTTTTTTGTTTTTTTGTTCCTGTGCAGGTTTTGGCACTTCCACTTTCATTTTTTGTTCCTGTGCAGGTTTTGGAGCTCCAAGATGCTGAAACATGCACAGGAACAAAATAATGGAAGTGGAAGTCCCAAAACCTGCACAGGAACAAAAAAATGGAAGTGGAAGTCCCAAAACCTGCACAGGAACAAAACAACATAAAACATGGAAATCCTGAGGGACATCTCCAGGTCAGATGGACAGTTCTCTCTGAGATTTTCATTTTATTTTTATTTTTTTGTTCCTGTGCAGGTTTTGGGACTTCCACTTTCATTTTTTTTGTTCCTGTGCAGGTTTTGGAGCTTCAAGATGCTGAAACATGCACAGGAACAAAAAAATGGAAGTGGAAGTCCCAAAACCTGCACAGGAACAAAACAAATGGAAGTGGAAGTCCCAAAACCTGCACAGGAACAAAAAAACAAAAACATGGAAATCCTGAGGGAGATCTCCAGGTCAGATGGAAAGTTCTCTCTGAGATGTTCATTTCTGTTGTTTTTTTTGGAGCTTCAAGATGCTGAAACATGCACAGGAACAAAAAAATGGAAGTGGAAGTCCCAAAACCTGCACAGGAACAAAACAAATGGAAGTGGAAGTCCCAAAACCTGCACAGGAACAAAAAAACAAAAACATGGAAATCCTGAGGGAGATCTCCAGGTCAGATGGACAGTTCTCTCTGAGATTTTCATTTTATTTTTATTTTTTTTGTTACTGTGCAGGTTTTGGCACTTCCACTTTCATTTTTTTGTTCCTGTGCAGGTTTTGGAGCTTCAAGATGCTGAAACATGCACAGGAACAAGAAAATGGAAGTGGAAGTCCCAAAACCTGCACAGGAACAAAAAATGGAAGTGGAAGTCCCACAACCTGCACAGGAACAAAAAAACAAAAAAATGGAAGTGGAAGTCCCAAAACCTGCACAGGAACAAAAAAACAAAAAATGGAAATCCTGAGGGAGATCTCCAGGTCAGATGGAAAGTTCTCTCTGAGATTTTCATAATTTTTGTTTTTTTGTTCCTGTGCAGGTTTTGGCACTTCCACTTTCATTTGGTTTGTTCCTGTGCAGGTTTTGGGGCTTCAAGATGCTGAAACATGCACAGGAACAAAAAAATGGAAGTGGAAGTCCCAAAGCCTGCACAGGAACAAAAATAACAAAAAACATGGAAATCCTGAGGGAGATCTCCAGGTCAGATGGAAAGTTCTCTCTGAGATTTTCATTTCTTTGGTTTTTTTGGTCCTGTGCAGGTTTTGGCACTTCCACTTTCATTTTTTTGTTCCTGTGCAGGTTTTGGAGCTTCAAGATGCAAAGGGCTCACACGGTTCGTTTTTTTGGTGCTGGCAGCCATGGAAAACAGTCAAAACTAGCTCATTCCAAGAGCGCAGATGGCTCAGAAGCTTCAGCAATCATCTCAGCTACAGGAGCAAATAGATGCCTTGAGTTATGGATGCTGCAGATCAAGATGACAAGTTGTTATATGATGGTTCATACTCATATAAGCATATGCTCACCCCCATCTCCAAATTTATCATGATTTGTATGATTTTCCCTCAAAAGGTGGGCCCTGGGGGGGGGGGGTGAGCATATATATATACATACATGTATAATATATATATATATGTATGTATTATATATATATATATTGGCATGCACAAGGAGAAGCAATGCCCCCGTGGCTCAGTTTACATCTTTGCATTTCGCCGAGCTTTGCAACTTGGCCAAAGCGCCCACCGCTCCCGCCCCCGCCCTTCGCCTGGCTCACAGCCTGGAGCGAAGGAAGGGATCCCCTCTCTCTGCCCGAGTGGATGGTTCGACAAAACGTCAACGGGAGTTCTTGGTTGGCCCCAGAAAGTAAAAGGCACAACCACTTATCTTTTTTGTTGGCCAAAACAATTCTTTGGTGGTTGGTTCGAACGGTCCAGACCCCAAAAAGTGGCTAAAGTCTGGGAACCCTGGAAGCGAGTTTTTGGGTCCTTCTATGTCCTTCTGTTCTTATATACTTACTGTTGTTCGCTTCTTGTGCTTCGGCTTGCTTTGGCTTCTTTTAGTTTCGCTTGGCTCCGGCTTTCGTTTCTGGCTCGACATCTAGCCCTCGGAAACCCTTAGCCCTTCTTGTAGACGGAAGGGAAACGGCTTTGAAACCAACCGATTTGAAATCTACCCCATGTGGAAAACGACCAGAGGGTCGGGGCACCCCAAAAGCTCCATGTTGACTCACTTCCTGAGTGGACTGGCCGAAAAGAAGTCCAGACTTTTTTGGTCCAAACCAAGCTGATCTTCCCAAAAGTGGCCGACGTCCGAGATCCGGAACTCAGGGAGTGAGGCGAAACCGCCGTTCCGCCGCACCGCGCCGCGTTCGTTCTGTTCTTTTTGGATGGTCTTAATGACCCAGCGCCCCCGCTGCAGACGCCCATCGAAGATCTGCTGGAGCTCCTGCAAGGAGAACTTGCTGCTGCGGTCGTACTTCAGCAGCCCATTCCTGGAGGCCACGCGGGCTGCATGTGATTGGAACCGGGGGGATGTCTTACATAAGTATACCTGGACCCTCAACCGTTGACAAAAGGGATTCCCCAACCATTTTGTTTTGGGGTAATAATCTTGTTTCAAGGGCACTTTGAGGGTCCAGGTACATAGTACGTTTTAGACCCCCGTAAAACATTACGAATCTTTTTCACGATTCGCATACACAAATTCGAATCCGTAAAGGAACCTTCATGAGGCTCAACTGAGAGCAAAGTCAAAAAGTGTGTCTCTGCAACCGGTGACCCAGGTCATACATCCAAGCAACCGCGCGCAGCAGAAAGAAGGCAGCAACAAAACATCAACAGCCACACCAAATCAAATACATATGTATATATATATATATATCATGCACATAAATACACATGTACAGTATGTAATGTGTACAATTTGAGTGCAGCTTGCCCCAAAACCCTAGCACATACACACCTGCAAAGGAACTGGCATCCACACCACCCCATGCCAAGCTGATAAAATTTCACCACTGGCAAGAGAAGCTTCTTCTCATACTCCACGTCGTAGAGCTGAGTGTAGCAGAAGCCAGTGTACCTTGGCCAAACTTGACACAAATGGCTTTGCCCTAGGCAAATTGCCTATCCATTACATTTGCATGATGGTGTTCCGCGGTTTGCAGGGGGTCTGCGCATCAAGCGAAAAGGAGGCGAGTCATCATTCAAAGACAAACCTATCTTACCAAGGAGTCTCATTGATTGAAACACACTCTGCAATACCCTACAAGCAGGATTGCTCACTTAAATTTCACATGCTGTGCGATTCTGGTTGCCAACTAGCCTTACACGCTACGCCCCTCTTTCCCCGTGTGCGCCTGGTAAATGCTTGGATCGAGTCCATGTCACGTGGGCAACCCGCAGCCGGGAAACCTAACAACCCGGATTCCAAAGGCGACCCAACCACACCCAGACACAGGACAGTGGTATAGGTTATACCTAGGCCTACGTAGGCTTTTCAGGGCTGGAAAGGAACCGCCGGGTTTTTGCATATGGGTGTCTTCGTTTCTCGGGGTCCCCCACACCGGATTTCCGGTCTTCATTGTTTTTTTTCCCGAGCTTCCACCCGCCCAAAGCAGCAGGGGTTTCCCTCCCAAACCCCCGCACCCGCCAGCCGCGAAGGCTGGAGCGAGCGGCATCTCCGAGGCGTAGATCCCCGCCGTGAGCCCCGCGATCCGCGAGAGCGCCTGCCCCGCCGTGGCGGCGAGCCCCGCGGACCGCCCCGCGGAACGCCCCGCGGAACGCCCCGCGGAACGCCCGCGGCGGCCCAGGTAGCCGGGGAGGAACTTGGAGGGGTTGGAGCCGTAGGGCCCACCCAGGTCGAAAGCCACACCTGGGCTTTTCTGTCTTGAAAACACGAAGTGGCGATGCGTCTGTTTTTTGGAGTTGGTTTGCCGTGCTTGTGCTTTTGTTTTAGGGAAGCCAAAGGGAACACCACCTCTAGAGTTTTTCTTGAGGGGGGCCGAAAAAGACGGTCCCAAAGGGCTCCTCAGCCAAGAAGAACGGTGTGACACGAAAGTTTGGGTGCAGGGTATTGTGCAGGTTGCGTGATGCAGAACAAGGGGACTTGCATGGTTCCGAGCTTATACAAATGTGTCTTCCGCACGTATACACTTGTGTGCTCAGGGTGTATTTGCGTGTCCCCTGCGAGTACACATGTGTCTTTCCGCGCCTATACAAGTGTGTGTGTGTGTGCATTGGCGGTCCTTTTTGCTCAGTGTACACACATGCCTAGTATATATGCATGTGTTCGCAGTGTATCCAGATGTGTGTTTCGCGCGAATGCACATGTTGTCCGCGCATGTTCAGGAGTGCGGAAACATGCTGCTTAAGCCCCGGCATCCACCCTGCCAGCCCCGTGCGCTACCCGGTTCACGAACAGCCTGCGTGCAAGCTCTCCTGTGCCCAAACCGGGGGTTGTGGTGTTGCGACGGAAAAAGACGCGCTGCGCAAGAAAAAAAATACTTGTGCGTATGTGTGAACAGCGTATACATACATTCCACGCGTAAACAAGAATGTTCCGAGACCATGTGTTTGTCCGAGTGTACAGGCATGTTCCGACCGTATACACGAGTGTCTCTCGCACCTTCTGAGCGACAACCCCTGGCATGAACAAGCTGTCGCAAAACAGACTGAGGCTGATTGCAAATCAAACTCTCACCATCTGGGATCTATGCCTATGCCTGTAAAAATATGGCCAAAGATGGACTGTTATCCTTTTTGGGACTCAAATCGGTTGGTTTCCCCGTGGTCTTTCCGGGAATGGGTGGTTATGGTGTAGGGCGGGGATGTTTTCTTACGCGTCCTCAAAAGTGGCCCGTTCACAGGAGTATGTCAAGTTTGTGCTGTGGTGCAGGTTTGGACGCTAGGCAAATGCAGGAGCATCTGGTTTCCAACTTGTTCCGCGTTTTGGGATACAAAGAGCTCGTCTCAAAGCTAGCGACACGTACTTTGGGCGCTTGTTTCCAAAGGGTAAACTTCGGGAAAGGAACGGTCTTCGCTCTTAAGCCATTCAAAAAGAGAGCTTTTCGAACCTTCTCTCCAATCCTGAGAGGATGGGCCAAAGAAAGTCCAAACTTTCTGGTACCGGTCTTACCCAAACAGCTTAAGGAAATGAATTCTGAAGACGGACACCCAAATAGGGGTGAATTTTAATAGGGGGCCCTGTAGTGGACATCATTTAGGCGCATGGGGATTTATGTCCACCAGCCATTTGCAAGCTGGTTTCCCCATTTAAATTCATAGCCAAATCAGTCTAACATTTTGACAACCGATCGCAGCGCCTCCATACTCCGCCACCAACATGGGTTGGCCCTTTTTGCCCTCCAGATACTTCGGCGGCGGCTTCTTCAGCATGCCTGGGATTTGCCCCAGCAAGCCAGGGCAAGTGGTCGCGCTCCACTCCAACCCATCGACAAAGGGTCGGCCAATCTAAGCAGTTTAGTTGGTACTTGGCAAACTTGCTGTAGATTTCTGGGCTCATGGATCAAAGGCTGAATGCATGAACCCCCAAGCGATTTAGCAACCCACTTGCCTTGGAGCGATGGAGATCTAAAGGCATCTCCCTGCTCCGTGGCCAACCGGGAAAATTGAATCAAATTCTGTGGATGGAACGAAATTCACTTCGCACCACCCGAGAAGCCATGGTTGACACCATTCGTTGATGCTATTCACACCCACTCGAATGTAACCCTGAAACACCTCTTAAATCAGGCCTAAGCCTGATTCCTATCGATTCTTGCTTGACATCAGATTGGCAGTTGGTATGTCAGATTTCCTTGTTTTGGGCTCTGCATCAAGTGAGTGAGCAATTGGTGATTTTGCACAACAATGAACACCCCGGTTCCATTCGGATCCTTTTACCGCGAATCATTGGGTTTCTGAACGGTTGTCCAACATGGATTTCGCAACCATCCACAGTAAATCCCAGAAAAAATGGAAGCTCAAGCATTGGACTGCATCCCTTCGTCAGTCAAGGTGCTGCCGAAAGCGGAGGGGCGCTGCTCGTAGTCATGGAAGGACCAAATGTTGGTTTGTACGTGGATCCACCCGGAGCTGTCGTGGATTGGCCGTTTCTGCGCGTCCTGAAATGCATGGGCGCCATTGCGCCTTCAAATGCCATCCCCCAGAGGAAACATCCCTTTCAAAAGGACGAAAAGCGGAAGTGTGGGTGTGCTTTTTAAATAGCTGCCCCCTCCCCCTGCCCAAATGGTCGTTGGAATTTCCTTACCGAAACAGGTTTCCCATAAAACCCCATGCCCCCGTCCTGCTTCCTCACCCTCTTCACCACGTCCTGCCGGAAACCAAAGGAAACCCAGCGATTGCTACCGACTTGAGGGCTCATACTGAAGCTCTTGTAAGGAAAAACAAAAAACAACAACCAAAAAAGAACATCAACTCCAAGCACCCCAACCACTTGGGATTTTGGACAGGGCAAAAGCGGTTGCGGGGGGGTGCTGGTCGTCAATCATGCTTTTTGGGAAGTCCACCTTTACGGGCAATCCCCATGGATTCACCAACCCCAACGTATTTGGAGTTGGGCTTTTCGGTGGACACCAACAGAAATACCAATTCAAAAACAACACCTGTTGATGCCGGGGTTGACATTGGCCCAGATGGAAGCGCGGCTCAAACCTTACCTTTCAGACCTGCAACTTCTCCCTCGACATCGCGAAGCCCTGACCGAATGTTGCGCCCCGCGCAAGCCAACAAAAACAACACCCCCCTTATCGGGTCAAACCCATCCCGGGATGCCGATTCTGGCCTAGATCACATGCCAAACACCCCTGCAGGATTTCTCAGCAAAGCTTCGGTGAGCTGAGCCTCAGAATGGAAATGCATGACAGGCCTAAGGATCCTAAGGGGCACTGGCAGGACGGTTGATACCCTTGCAGTCCCACCAGCGCCGGGCCCAGCCTGTTTTGCAGAGAGGAATCTTTGGGAAAGAAGGGAGATCTCCAAAACCACCTGTTACGGCCGAATCAACGTCCTGTGTGGCAATATATACAAGTTGGAAACCGGGACAACCCCCCTTTTGACACCCATTTGGGTGTGTCTTCTTAGGGCACCCCCCCAAACTGGCAAAACTGTGGTTCTCCTTCTAGCAGGAAGGTTGAAAACCGAACCGGAAACCGGTTAACCGAACCGGTTTTCAAAACCGCAAGAAAACCGGAAACAAACCACAAACCGAACCGAGCCGAACCGAGCAGAAACCGAACCCTCCCCAGGTTTGCAGGGCAGCAAGCGTCAAAGCAACAAACCCGCATTATTGGCCGCTTCTGGTTCTGATTTTTGCTTCCGCAGTGCTCGCGACACACGAAACACCGCTGAAATTTGGCAAGCAACAATTAAAAGCGGCCTACGAGCGGTCACTGACTTGCTTTTTTGAGCTGCTCGGCTTTGGCGCAGACATGCCAACAGCACCGCCACGGGATCCCGTTCAAAGCGGCAGCAAGAGGATTTAAACCCACAAGCTTGGCCTGCACTGCGGGAGTAGCTATATGTCCAAGCACTAACCTGTGTCACCAACTCCCCCTGCTCCCGCAGGATTGCCCAAGCACCCTGTTGCAGCCTGGCTGCGCCAGCAGCGCAAAAAAACAACACCTTACTGACGGTCAGTGGGTTGTTTTTTTTGCGCAGCCCGGCTTGGATTGGAACAGTTTCTCACGGGCCGAACAGGAGGAAAACTGAGTTGCTTGCTGTCACTGTAAGGGCTTGCTCTCCCGGCGCCTTGCCGCCTTGCCCTGGGCCTGCCCTGGCCTTCCCCAACGCCCCGCCAGCCTGATTGCCAGAACTTTTGGCACGCTTAGCAGGCCACTGCAGCTGAGGCCCCTTTGCTGCACGCGTCAAGGACAAACCCGCATTATTGGCCGCTTCTGGTTCTGATTTTTGCTTCCGCAGTGCTCGCGACACACGAAACACCGCTGAAATTTGGCAAGCAACAATTAAAAGCGGCCTACGAGCGGTCACTGACTTGCTTTTTTGAGCTGCTCGGCTTTGGCGCAGACAGCATCGCCAACAGCACCGCCACGGGATCCCGTTCAAAGCGGCAGCAAGGGGATTTAAACCCCCAAACTTTGCCTGCACTGCCGGAATAGCTATATGTCCGAGCATCAACTTGTCTCACCAACTCCCCCTGCTCCTGCAGGATTGCCCGAGCACCCTGTTGCAGCCTGGCTGCGCCAGCAGCGCGAAAAAAAACAACTTACTGACGGTCAGTGGGTTGTGTTTTTTGCGCAGCCCGGCTTGGAACGGGAGGAAAACTGAGTTGCCCGCTGTCACTGTAAGGGCTTGCTCTCCCGGCGCCTTGCCGCCTTGCCCTGGGCCTGCCCTGGCCTTCCCCCAACGCCCCGCCAGCCTGATTGCCAGAACTTTTGGCACGCTTAGCAGGCCACTGCAGCTGAGGCCCCTTTGCTGCACACGTCAAGGCAACAAACCCGCATTATTGGCCGCTTCTGGTTCTGATTTTTGCTTCCGCAGTGCTCGCAACACACGAAACATTGCTGAAATTTGGCAAGCAAAAAAAGTGACCCATGAGCGGTCAGTGACTTGTTTTTTTGCACTTTTGAGCTTTCACTGCAGAGATGCTTTTCCAGGCCACATGCGCGGAACAACATGCTCAGCATCAGTCAGCGGCATGGTTTGTTTGTTTGTTTGTGTTTGTGTGTGTGTGTGGTTGTGTCTGTGTGTGTGGTGTGGGATGGCGATGTCAGATGGATGGCGATGCCAGAGATGTGGAAGTTAGTGTGGGCGAAAGCAGACTGAGTTACCTAGAGCCTTATCTTACTTTTCTGCATTAACCGTGCAAACCGGCAGGTTTTGGAAGGTTATGAGTAACCGCCACTAACCGGAGAAAGGTTTTCAAAAGGTTTCAGAAACCGAACCGAACCGAACCTAACCGTGGCCACCCTGTTCTAGTGTTCCTTTGCAACCACAAAGAGGGGTATCCCATTCAAGAAACGCCTCTTCACTTTCGGGGAAGCACCCCCCCCAAAGCCGAACGCCGCTCCTTCACGAAGTTCACGTGGCGCGAAATCATTTCGTCCCGAACCTCGCAGAAATCCACCGGAAGACGCCGAACGCTGAACCGTCGCCAGGCTGACGTGAGGTATGTATGTGAGCCGCCTTTTGGTGAGTTGAATGCCCTTAACGGCGATCTTTGAAGGCAAAATCATCAAAAGCCTCCAAGATTCTTAGGCCACCAAAAGGCGACGTCTCCTTTTGTTGTGACACATGAGCCATCTGAAAAGGGGGTAACTAGAAGAACAACTATACAACTACATACATCATGATATCATATATGATATAGTTACAAGTGGACAAATTCCTGGACACCAAACGAGCACAAATTTCCGCTGGAGGGAAGAAGTGCCCGTTTCTCCCAAAAGCGCTCGTTTAGTCAAAATGCGCTTGAGGCCAAATAAGTGCTCGAGTCAGCGCCCTTGCTTGCACATCATTGCCTCTTGGAGGCGCAAATCCTGACAAACTCATCACTGCCTCAATATGTCACATTGCACAGTGGACAGCGCATCTTCAGTTTCGAGCCGCTGGATATCTTCGCGCGCTTTTGGCCGCGGGACAACGGACCCACTGACACTTTTTAGAATTGCGCTCGAGGTTGCGGGTTGCAAACTGCCCCCAATTGGCCAAAATGTGCCAAACACGTGCAGGCTTGTTATATAGGCTTCCACTAAACGAGCGTTTGTTGCCCGAACAGCGCAGCTCCAGCAATTTCCTGCCCCACCCCCTGCTACGCGGAGAGCGAGGGCCCTGGCAGAACAACTCACACACTCCAAAGCATCCAAATCCCATGGAAGTAGATTTCTGCTGGAATTGGATCTTTTTCCTAAAAGGTGCTCGAATAAGGAAAAGTGCTCGAATAAGGAACAGTGCTCGAATGAGCAAAAACAGCTCGAAAGAAGGGTTTGCCACAAATTTGTGCTTGTTTGGGGGTCCAGGTTTGTTCAAATTGGCTAGACCCAGACGCTGTTTTCTACTTGGCTCCCACAGACCCGGTCCGACGTCGTTCTCCGTCCAGCCGGCCTTCGGCTCGTAGCGCGACCAGAAGCCTCCGCCCGCGCCGGAGTGATGCTCCCAGCCGTGCTTCGGCCCGAACCTGACGACTGACGTGACGTGGGGCCTCAACAGTCGGCTCCGGGTTGAGGTTCGCCAGTTCCCAGTTCACCAGGTTGATACTTTTGGGGGAACCGGAAAGTCGTCGGGAGGTTGGTTCGGGAATGGTAAAAAACCAGCCAAGTTTAAAGAATGGGCTCGCAACTTAAGGACGTAACTTTGTGCTCCGGGAATGAAGTGCCGTTTAGGCCTCACATCCAGCCCACATTTTGACCGTGGATGCTGTTTTCTACGAACATTGCACCATGTGAGGAAAATCCTTCAAACGACCATGAAACTGTAATACTGGATCTTTCAACCATCCCAGGTCGAGAAGACAAACAGCATCTAAAAGGAACCCGCAGCATCTAAAGAAGAATTAGAAGAAGACAAAACACAACAAAGAAAGAACCACCAGAATATTTGATAACAGAAACAACAAACCACCTCGGCTTCTGCCCGCATCGGCTGCGCCAGATTCGTTGATAAGGCACTCGTTGAAGAGCCCCCAGGCCACAATGCAGGGATGGTTGTGCAGGTCCTATGGGACGGAAAGAAATGGCCATCCAATCCCCACTAAAATAGTCTAAAATGGTTGGTGCACCTACCCCACAATGGGATTCGATTGGTTTTGACCCACAGCCAGATTTGGTTTGCGGAATGGCGTCCTCAAGATATGAGTATGGGTCAATAATTCAACCACCAGTGGACCGGTTTTAGTCTTTGGTTCCATTTATCAGGGTTCCATTTTGGGTACGCATGTTTGACCCACAGCCAGATTTGTGCGGTCTTAAGCAATAATCCCAGTGACTCTACATAGAAAATGGGAACCCTGTCGGGGTTGACCAGTTGTAGCGGAGAAGCGACAAAACAAAAGGGCCAAGCGCGGCGCTGAACAACTGAGCAATGGTCTTGCTACTTTGTGGGACATTTTGTTGCAGAGTAACGGATGCATTGGTTTGCATGTGTGTTGAAGCGTCATGGCACATGCAGGTAGTCATGGTGGCGAATGAGTTGCCTTCTTTTGCAAGACGGGATTCTGCGAATTAATGCGAATTAGAGTTCCAAATGGGTCATACATGGCCCCATTCTGGTGCCCTCACATCGCCCTCATTCAGGTGCCTTTGACAAGTAACCTTTCCCGTGGTTTGGGAGAGAAACTCCTTGAACTCTCGGCTTCCTTTCCTTTCTCCCATGGGAAGCCGGAATGATGCAACCCATTTTTTGATTTGGAAGCCCAGCTTCGGGGGAATCCAACAGGTCCAAAATGGACGTTGAACACTTTGACCCTGCTCAAAGGCGCAAAGGGACAGGAAACCCTCAAACTGCGCCTTCTGAATCCAGCCGCAAGGGATGCTAGATCAATCTGAGACACTGGAGGCTTCGGACCCATTTCGACCCATCGTCCTGCACCAACTTGGGCCACTCCTGGCGTACCACCTCCATGTACCTCAGCCAGGCCAGAAGCACATGTGCGTATGGTTCTGTGCCTTTTGGGGAACCTCTTAAAAACCCTGAGCTTTCGCAACTTCTAGAAAACACATGCTGTGGCCATACATATATATATATATATACTTCACAAGCAGGAAATCAGGTTGTTGCCGTTTACATATATATATATATATATCAAGCATATGTATCAAGCAAGAACCTTTTGTAAAAGCGGTTCGTGGACATGATTTCCCACCCAAATAATGTCCGTCAAGCCAGGGGCCCCGCAAGGAACCCAGCGGTCAACCGAGCGGAACCGGGTGGCTGGTCAGGGACCTCCCAGCGCCTGCTCTGGCCGCCGTTCCAATCCGGGTACTCGGCGAAGACCAGGTACCTAGGCGAGTGGACGACCCGCAAACAAAAAGATGGCTGACTTTCTTTGGTGAGAAGGATGATAATACACCAAACATGGCGAGTTGAACAGGCACCTAGACTGGACGACCCGCAGCAAAGGTGAAGAGACTGTCTCTGGTTGAGAACGAGTAGACAACCCGCAAGAAGGTTAGTTGACAATCATAGTTAACAGACTCGTTTGGTTGAGAAGGATGATAACACACCAACAAATGGCGAGTTGAACAAGTGGACGTTTGCTGGTACCTCCAGTGGACCGCCCGCTCTCTGGCGGGTTGAACAAACATAGAACACCACAACAGGCGAAGCTATCGGCAATGGTGCCCCAACTCGTCCGCAGCCTTGAAGAAGAGAGGCTCGAAGACCTGAGCACGGACTTTGGAGCGTGAGCTGAAAACACTCCCTCAGACCAACGGCCAGAAGCTCCCCCAGTTGGCCTCAAATGGAACCAACTCTTCCTTTTCGGGGCTGGAGCCTCCATGGACTCTGGGGGGAGCCAAAATCCATCTTGTGTTTTGCGGGAGGCTTCCCGTGCACCGAGCCCCCGAGCCCCCGAGCCCCCGAAGGGGATTCCATTCCCGTCGGTTCCCCCAGATCCCGCCTTCTGGTGGAGCCTTGCGCCGTTGAATCCCAGGGTCTGGGCCAGGACGATGTCGCGCCGCAGCGAGGCCACGTCCGGGGCCGTCCACAAGCCATCGGGGTAGTAGCCTCCACGTGGCGGTCGCTTTTATGGGAAATAGATAACCCTGGTAGATGATTAAACAACCAGGTAAACCAGGGCCAACCATTTTTCATTTTTCTAGCAAAACAACCAAAAAGGACAACTATGGCGTGGGGTTTCAGGGTGGGGGATTGGTCAAAGAAGCTGAAGCCCCTTATTTTCGGTTTAACACGGAAATGACTGATAGGAAAGTGGCCGATTCCCAACCATGAACCACTACGTCGCAAGCCCCGCTTTGTTGACCCTTCCCCTTTTTTCCCTTCATGTCCTTCTCTGCCTGCCACAAGGACTCGTCCACGTGATCTAGGATCTGGAGATTTGTAAAAATGGCCGGAAAAGACAAAAACGAGCGATCAGCCAAGTCTGGCGATGCTTTCTTCCTCTAGCTTGCAACCAAACCACAATGATTTAGTACTGCCGGTCAGCATTCATAGAGTAACAAAAAGACACCCATCTGCATATTTTGCCATAGTTCCAGCACCTGACATTTTGGGCCCCCCAGATGAATCACCATCTTGGTGCGCTCGCTTCCTCCCAATTTGATGAGCTCGCCAAATGGACAAGCCTCACGGGTAACAGTGGAGCCGGAGCAATTGAACCCAGCTAAGAGGCAAGGCCCAAAGCCCTGAACCCATCTCTCTGCCTTGGTCTAACACGAGGCGCAGGTAGATGGGGCTGTTGTTCAAGCAGATCGTGTCACCTCTCCGGCCCGTACAAACCGACCGCCTCAAACGTACCCTCGAAGTCGTGGTTGGAAGCCACACATTTTAAGGGACGCCGTCGGCCACTTTTTATATCCCAATCCAACTCCATGATGGTTCAAACGCGTTTTCAATTACGCCATGGGAGATGGCCTAAAACTCGACACCGACATGACTCTGGACTTTAAATTGTCAGATACAGCATTTCGCGGATAGAAATTCATGGCTGGAGTCCAATTGAGTCACTGCTACAATCAGGAAACTTATGTTCCTCTTTTACAATGTTTGTCGGTTTTTTCTGTTGCGCAAGTCTCCATTTGCCCATTCTTTTGGTGTGCAAGCTGTTCTTTAAGTTTGGCTGGGTGTTTGTCATCGGTGGTCTTGCCCACTTCCCTTTTGACACGCCCACGGGCAACACACTGTTCATCACTATTCAAACATAACAAGCCATGAAACGTCAACGTGTCTTTTGCTGGGAGAAATAGGGACACAGCTATACACCGGGCCCAAAACAATTGGAATGGTGTTGGGCACTGCGGTATTTAGCCATGATATGTTGGTTTCACCAGCCGTTGCTTCCGCTGCGGCGGGGGCAGCAGCGGCCGCCGCCGCTGCTGCTGCCACCGTTGCAGTCGAGCTGCTGTTGCTGCTCGTGCGGTGGTCGTCGTTGTCGTCGCCGCTGTTGCTTTTGCTGCTGCTGCTGCTGCTGGTGCTGCTGCTGCTGCTGCTGCTGCTGCTGCTGCTGCTGCTGCTGCCGCTGTGCTGCCGCTTTTGCTGTTGCTGCTGTTGATGCTGTTCGTCTCTCTGTCTCTGTCTCTATCAGTCTTTACAGTCTTTGATATGCCTTTGAAAACCCAAACTCCCAACAGACATCAAGCCGAATTGTTCCCGCGCCTTTGAGGCTGACCAAGCGCAGTGCCGTGTACGAGTTCACCTCGTCCAAGACCTTGCTGCCCTCCTCAGCTCCCAAGAACTGAGGTATCTTAAAGGTGGGCCACTTCAACAAAAAGCCTGAATCAGCCAGCTGCAATGCGCCCTCCGAACTCTTCACGGTCGTGGTTTTGCAGGAATCCTTAGCAGCCCTAGCATGATCGCCAAAAGTGCCAGGTAAGATCAAGTATGTTAAGGCTATCTCAGCATGTTGTGACAATCCCTATCAATCCCAAGCAAAGGGCTGCTTTGACCTGAGCCATTAATGAACCGTCATTATTTACATGGCGTGCTACTTGGTACAGGCGTGCCTGCAAATGGAAGAACCACGCCGACGCCTTCCTTAAGGAGGGGTGTCGTACAAAAGTAGCCTCTGGCACAAGCAGCCAACACGTGCGGGACTAATCAACCGCTGAATTGGTTCTCTTAACAAAAAGGCTGCAAGATGCTGTGGCTGATTTGGGATTGTAGAAGGTCGTGCTTAACCTAGGGGCGAAGGTGGCCACGTTCACGACGTGCTTCAACTGACTCAGGTATCTGCAGGCAAGAGGGCGGGAAACCAGTGCGGTCGGAATCTCATGGTCTCTGCACTTTCAGGGAAGTTCGACCCAGGCATGTGTGCACCACTCCAAGGAGTGCATCGGTACGAGATCATGGCTCCTGCCGCATCATGTCTGACGCCACATCTAGGCTGACAAGTCCTTGCAACGGCATTGGATAACCCCATCTGATGCTTGATCACTGAACAAATGAGGATCAGAATGGTACGGGCACCGGTTTTCACGGCTGTCTCGAACCAGTCTGTTGCAACACATTCGTTCAGCACCAAATTTGTGCATCATACACGCCAGTCTTGCACACCTCTGCTGTAGAGAGTGGGTGGCACATAGCAACCTCCGGGTGGCCTGATGAAGGGGTTGCGTGGATTTCCAAACGGGAAACAGGGCGCAGTGGTTCCTTTGTTTCTTGGTTGGTGTCTAAGGTGAACCCCTTCCCCAAAGAAAGCCCGACTGGACGCCGTGGTTGTGGAACATAACCATTTCTGGCATGATGACGGGGACGTTTCTACCCCTTCTCAACTTTCCACAACCATGAACCCCCCCCCGCCCCAACGAAACTTGAACAACGATCCTTTCTTTAGTTGGTTGATTTCGAAGGCATTCTTCTAATGGGTACCCGGTGCTTGAAGGGGTTAAGCGGGGGTTGATTGGTCGACTTTTGGACTAAAGATTCAGACGGTAATACCCAGCATGCACCGTTAAACTCGTACTTGCCCAAAAAAGAATATATATTTTAGGAATATCAACTAAGCAATGTCCAAAATCGCGCAGTTGCCCCCAAAAAAGGTTCATTTTAGAGATATCAACTAAACAAAAACCAAAATCGGAAAGCACAAGGTCAAAGGTCGGCCTAGTGAGATGCAGCTGAGACGCTCGCAGCTGAAACTGGAGCCCGTAGAGGAAGGGCGCCTTCGCGCAGGGAAAAACCAATCGGTTTGGATGGGTTTCTATAGGAACCATAGGAACCAGGCGAAAGGGACGCTTGAAACCTCAGGCCGGATGCTTGGAATGGAAAACCGAGCCTAGCGGGGTGCTGGGCGCATGGGTGCCTGTACCCCAAACAACTGGATTGTGCAACCCTGGGGATGCAACCAAACTGGACAAAAGTAAGGCTGACTTTGGGGATTTTGGCGCCTAGCGAAAGGGCTCGAATGGAGACATATTCATCACACCTAGGTCAAGACAAGAGATGTGAGCTAATTTGCGAAGGCTAATTCAGGCAAGCTCTATTATCAGGGCCCATGACAGTTGGATGCTTGTACATCAGTGCAACTCACCCCTCGGTACGCATGAACAAGTGGTTCGGAATGGTGGCTTGAGCATTTGCTCAGTCGGTCGCCGCCCCTCCTACAAAAGGACCAGCCCAGCTTTCAGGCTTCCCATGGCGTCAACCCACACTTCCGCGCGTGCGGCAAAAACCCAAAAATCCGACGCGCTTCGCCTCAGGGCTCCAGACTTTGGGATTCGGCACGTCCAGCAGCGTGGCCCCGTCCGCCAGCGCCGTCGTCTCGCAGAGCACTGGCCCAGTGCACTCCAGGCCTCGCGCGCGATGTCGCGCGCGCGCGCGATAGAAGGGCGGAGGGAAACAACGGAACGAACACAATACCAAACCCGGGTGCTGTCAAAACAAGAAAAAACGAGGGTGTTGCCTTCTTGCTAATACAGACCAAGCCATTGATATTGTTTTATCTACACTTTTTCGAAATCAAGTTGGACAAGGACCCGTTTCGAGAGGACAGTAGTCTTCCCCAACCTGAAGGTGTCTGAGCAGAGCGGTTACCATAGAAGGATCTGTTGGCTAAGACTTTCTGGGCATCCCAAACACCTCCCAGCGGAGGAATGTCCAGATCCGAGCAAGGTGCGTTTGCCACCATTCTTGATTTTCGAGCTGTCTTGCCGAGTTCACGTGGCTGCATGGCTGGGGTGGGTGGGTGTGTGACCACCGAAATTCAGAGAATGGGTGTCCGAATGCCTACTTGAAAACAGTGTACCTGGATCGCCAGTTGCTGGTTTCTTCATGCACTTTACCCCAAAAAACAGCAACAGTGACTGAAACAAACAGCAACTTGTATGTGCGAATGGAGATTTGAACCAAAGTTGGAACCCTCCAGCAAACCCCCCCACCAGGGCCCTCCAAGTTTGTACCCTCAAAAGAGACACCGTTCGCCAACTTGCAGCTGATGTTCGTACGGGTTCTTGGATCTGACCGTTTTCCTGGGCATTTGGGTGTGTCGGTTCCCTGCTTTTTGTGGGTTTTAGAGGGAAACCAAAAGAAAACAAGGACGGCTACCATCTTCGTCTACTAAAACCCGGCCCGGCCACACATTTTGGGAATTGGATTCCAAGCAACCCGTGGACCCCCCCCCCCAGGGACTGCCCGAGGCGCTGCCATACAAAGCCACGTGGAGCTGCAGCGACGCCACATCTCCCGTCCAGTGGGGGATCAGCTCCAGCAGCCATGCTCCGGCGTCCTGGCGAGCTTGTCGACCAAAAAACCCGAAAGAACGACCCAAAGGCGGGAGTTCACCGAGCATCATGTTGGGGTTGTCGTAACCCATGTCTTTGACATTCAAAACATCTTTCATTAAAAAAAACATTGCTGGTTGTTTGTCGACATTAGGGCATTTATTCTTGACATTGTCACATTTGCTTAACCCATGTCTCCGGGAACTTGAGGGCTCAGGAAGGTCGGAAACAGAACACCCTCTTTTGTTTGCCCCAAGGACAAATACACGAGCCCGAAATCGGTGGACAAGCATAAGACATACAATGGTCAACTGCCTTGACCACAACAAACAACATCGCATTGGTTTAGCAAGAATCGGTTTGGCACCAATTAGTTGAACACACATACTCAACATGGGTGAAGCAACACGTTGGGTTTGAATCACCGTTAATCAGCAAACAGGAACTTGGTATAAGCAAACACCCAAGAACTACAAGCGGCTTGACAAAAACACTCACCACCATGGCTGAAAACCAACGAAAACCAATGAATTGGCTGAGAACCCTGCAAAGCATGTGTCGACTTGTCTCTACTCCCTGTATGTGTTTACATGAGACTAGAGGAATACGCCTGCGTCTCTTTGGGTGAGCCTGAAAAAGACACCCCCAACATGGCTTGCCAGCTGGTCTCTTAGACAAACTACCCTTTTCAATGAGCATGAAGCCTCAAAAGGAGTCCCCCAAAACATCAAAGGACGACTTCTCTGCAAATGATAGCTTTTTGGGTTCCAGACTGTTGGACAAACTCCTGTACCATAGCCAACACTCTGGTAAATGCCTGATAAACTGCCGAAATGCGGAATTTGCAGCATTCCAGCTCCAGCATTTCGGTCCTTGCAGCGAGGCACCACCCTGAGGCCGCGAACACCACGGAGGACGGGACAAAGGCATCCAAATGACTGGGTACTCTTGCCGGGGGGAAAAAAACAACGAAAGAAAGCACCCATAAGTAGAGGAAGCAAATCAAAGTTCCTTGTGGGAAATGGACCATCCTTTTGGGTCTCATGTTGGTTTGTAGGTGTGTAGTTGGCTTTAAAGGGAAACCCATACCCAAAAATCAGAGAAGGACTGAATCAAAGGGTGGAATTGAGAGGAACCACCGGGAAGGTCGACTTCATGGAGCCCAAAATGGGCTCTGAACAACCCAGCAGCATCATCAAATGGAGCGACGGGCTTTTGGCTATAAGACGGTTCCAATCACGCGGTCTGTCACATATTCAATGGGAGTTCAGGTGGTGCCGCAATCATTTGGCTACAAGGCCAATATAAAGACTCCCCAGTTTCAAATCTGCCCAAGGTACTGGTAAGCAAACAGCTGCAAATTAACCTGGAGCCCAGAAAAAGGGTCGCCCAAAAGGAATTCGGTTTTTCAACAAACGATGGGCACTATGAGGCGCCCTTCTCGTCCTCCAGTGAATGAGCTCACTGGCCTGAAGAACGTTGCGCAAGATTCTGCTGGAGGGGGGGGGCACGACAAAACATGGTCGAAGCCAAAGGGTCAGAGGAAAGTCCCGATGCCAAAATTTGTGTTCCATGTCACCCTGCGTGGGATCTTCAAGTTCCGGAATCGCAGGTAACAAAACCTGGGTTAAATAAAGTTTGTGAGCGATGACGGAATGGTGCATCTGATCAAACCATTTCCCTTTAAAGACTTGTGGCCGTGCCAAAAAAAGGCTCTCCTCTTTTCGGTGGATGTTTTGTCGGTCCCACCCGAAAGACAGTGAACATGGCACAGAGAAGCTCCGGGCCTGAATTGCCCCCCTTTGATTTCATCACCAACAGGAAGCCCATTTTTCTTACATGAAATTCCAAAGTAGAGAATCTTTAGCACCAAATCTGAGGACAGGAACGTCACAGGAGGCCTTGCTTTGGGAGTCCTTTTTCTTTCTGTGGATTTCCAGTGTGACGCACGACAAAGGCTGCGATTCCGGACGAAGCTTCGACCCGGAAAGGGATGTTGTACGTTGGGTCGACCCCAAAAAGCGCGACTCCCACAGAACGAATTGGAAAGGACGTGCTCAAAGTGATCCGGATTCCCTCAAGGCCCAACGCGTCAAACCAATTAGTCCCAGGCCTCGTTCCTTATTTCACTTGCCACCCAAACGACCCGGAAATCAAAGGTGATCACCTTTTGGGGCCATTACGAAATATGGACCAACATGGAAAAACCAAAAGGTCAAAGGTCGATTCGCTTTGGGCACTGAGTAGGGCCTTGGCTGTAATCCCCCGAAGTGACCAAAGAGGACTAGTACTAGTTGCTTGGCCTTTGCAAAAGGCCTCCCGAACAAGGGGCCTTGAATATGAATATGAATGAACAAGCCAAACTCTACAAGGATTGAATTTTAAGTTTGCTAAGTTGAGGGGCCCAGGCCCGAATCCAACCAGGTGACGGTTTTCTTTTGGTCCTTTGAACAGCAACCCCCCAAAGCGTGCTTCTCACATTTTGGGCAGTGCCCAACAATATGGTAGAACTCTGGGTTTTCAAGGGGAACTGCTGTGACCTCTTCGAGTCAGAAAAGCAGGTCGACATGTCTTAACACCACATTTGTTCCAAGGACCCTGCAATTTCCGGCAACTAAAGGCTTTGGCTCTCTCAAAAGCATGCCTGGACCCTGAAACTTCCCTAAAAATGTGGATTTCACACCATAACTTTGGGCTATATCCCATTTCTCAGGGAATTGTGAGGGTCCAGGTACCCTCATTTTGCCCTCTCACCGCACACATCGAGGCACTGCACCCTGGTGAGGCGGGTGGTGGGTACGGCTTCCAGCCATACGCTCTGCCAAATGCCCGTGACGTTGGAGTAGAGCGTCGGCAAGTGGGGGCCTCACAGAGTACCAAAAACCGGTGGTAGGCTTAGGGTCACTGGATTACCCCTTCAAAAGTTGATCAGCTCGGTGGTTTCCACTAAAACGATCGCCACTTTTGGGGGTTCCAAAAAGGGAAACATGGCTCGGAAACCCCTCTGGAGTTGATGATCATCCGCTTTTCCGCTTTTGCGGCAACTTGATCGAGGGATGCATCCCGGCTGTTCAGCTTGTTTTTCTTCAGGGAGTGTCACGTTGAGGGGTCCTGTGGATTCTTTGGAACCGTTACGTTTTTTTTTTGCCTGAACACGGGACATTGAGGGCATTGCACCAAAGACCAGGGGTGATACCAAAGAGCACCGGCCGTGGCGAAAGGACTTGGCCCCGTTGCGTCCAGCGAAAGCCGACTTGTCTTAGGATGTTTACGTTGCTCGGGCAAATCCCGTCTTGCAGCCAGGTCCCCTGAAGAAGCCGCCTTCTACGAAACAATCAGGGAACCACAAACCCAGCAGCAAACGGCAAACCCCGCCAAAAATAGAAACACAACCAAAAACACACAGCAACCTACAAAATGCCAAAGTCAAGAACTGGCAAACCCCCCAAAAAAGACACCAAAACCCAATCAAATCTACCACAAGAACGGCAACACCCACCAAAAACCATTTTCGTAACCACCACACAGCACCCCCAGTCAGCGCGCCTGGGCCGCGGTAGGGATGGGCGATCTGCTTGCCCTGGGGCTGCATCTCCGCCGAGCGGTCCAGGCACCGAAGCATCACCGAAGCCTGCAAGGAGACAATTTTTCCCCAAACCTGGGGCCGTCTGCTTTTTTAGGGTACCTGGACCGCCAGTTGCGTTTTGTTTTCTTCTTTTTTTATCCCATGCACTTTAGCCAAAAAACCAGCAACAGTGACTGACAAAAGCGACAGCTTGGCGATCTAGGTACTTCCTTTTTCGGTGGTTTCAAAAGGGAAACCAAGGGAAACACGGCCAAACAAGGGGGATTCCCTGATTTTCCTCAAGGCATGTTTGATAGGGCTGTTCTCAAATCGCCTGCCGAAAGTCGAACTCTTGGTGGCTTGGTGAAATATACCAAAAACACGAGGGGATCCTTGGCTGAACCAAAAAAAACAGCTGTAAAGAAACGAGAAGATGGCTGGGAACCGTTTCCTCAAGACATGTGTCCAACGAGTCCGTCAGGAGCAGCAATTGAAATCAGCCCTATGCCTATATCCAGGGCTTGGAAACATGTCAAAATGGCTGGAAATTCTAGTGACCAGCCAGCAAGAGAACATCCCTGTTCCTGCTTTTAGTTTCCCCTTTAGGCGGCCTGATTGGGAATCCAAGCCCAAGAGTCCAAGACAGGCCGATTCCAAATCCAAACATGGAAACTCCCAATAACATGAAACCGCCATTGGCCATCAGTTCGCCGAACTCTGGTAGCTTGGTTTCAGCCTTAGCCATCCGCTCTTCAACACAATGGAACCAGGTTTGATCAGGTTTGCCTGGAGCCCGTGGCTGTTTTTCCCTTTTACACGCTTGCCCAACCAGAAACTATGTCCAGTGATAGGCTCCCCTTGAAACCAGCCAGGGGAAAAACACATATTAAGCAAATGGAAGCCGGAAAGGGACAACAGCCGAACATCCCAAGCCATGCTCTGACCTCTGAAACCTGGGCAAGTCTGGTGGTTGAAACACAGGGGCCTTAACAAATAAGCTCCCAAACCAACTGTTCATCAGTTTGGCGAAATCCTGAAGAAACAGACCCCTTTAAGAGGGGTGACTTCTGCTCGGCAAAGCTGTTGTAAAATCCGACCCGATTGGAGTTGTGGCGGGGTCTGCTTTGCTAAGGCTGTGTTACGAACCCCGGATCTACTTAAGCAGAACCCCTGGTTGGTTTTCTAGTGGGGATTCATCACTTTTGGAGGGGGAGCAGAGCACTGGGAGCCCCTTTTCATATCAGGCTAACGGCGAAAAGTCACCTGTGGACCGCAGGTGTTCTGCGATCAATTCGTCTTCCAGGCCCAACTCTGGTCTGATTCCATTCCATATGAGTGTTTCCTTTTGGTTTGCCTCACCCCAACCTCTAGGGGCACCCTGCAAGAAAGACATGCCCACATAACACCCCTCCCAACACCTCCCATGCTTTCCTGAAGGCTGCCTCAGTTCCCCCCGTGTTTTTGCCATCTTCTTCGCCCGGACAAGGACGACCCACCAGCCAACCCCGGCAGCCCCGACCACAGCCTGCGACACACCGCCGCCGTTGAGGGCCTCGGTGATGTCGTGATGGAAGGCGCTGTTGCCGCCCACATGCGCCGGGAAGGCGGTGCCATTGACCATGACCTGCCGATATCCGCGCGCCCGGCGCCGGGCGATCCCAGCGGACGGACTGAAGGCGGTTTGGAGTGGGATTTGAGGAGCCCTGGTTCTTGCAGATAAGTAGGAGGGGGGAGCTGATTAAGCTCGCTTGCGGATTCTCCTTGGACCTGAAAACAAAAGGTGATCACGGGTTGAAACCTTGACCAACAATAGCCCAGGGAAAAAAACCAAAAGGGGATCTTGGGACATGGATCGTTGATCCCTCCGCCTCCTGAACGAGCCATTTGCTTCCAAAAGGTCTCAGGGGCCATCCGGCACCAAGGACAATTGTTGGTTTCAAAACCACCCCACAAGAGGCGACCCTCAAGAATCACTCGTAATATTCCTACTTACAAGTTTTACAAGGGGGTGAAGTGGGGGGGTAAACCCAGTGTTGACCAGAGGTGCATCACCACTTGACTCACTCCCAGACCCTTAAACCCTTAGATGGCTTGGTGGGGACCTGTGCCTTAGAGCATCTTCCGGTGGCCTCGAGCACTTGCATCTTCAAGCTTCGTAAGTAGGCAATGAGGTCATCACTGGCTGGTACTTAAAACCATGCCTGGATCGCCAGTTGCGTTTTTGTCTTTTCAAAAAGCAGCAACAGTGACTGAAAAACAAAAGCAACTTGGCTATCTAGGTGGTTGTAGCCTACTTACGTAGCTCACAAGTAACCATTCGTGCCCTCAAAGAACCACGGCTGAGGCTAGGCACCACCACATCAGACGCCAGGCAAACCTATTCAGAAAGAGCAGCAGAAGGTGAGTCACAACCAAAACTCGGGTAAATGAAGCTCAGTAACACACATTCCCAACCATAGATTTTCGCAGATCTCCACCCCTTTCTCTGCCATGGGTGGCTAGAGCCCTTTACCTTTGACATTTGACTCAGGTAGCTTTGCGCACTCGTCACGAATGAAACGCAAAGGAGGTCGTGCCCTGCCTCTTCCCAACTCGCAAGCAGGACATGCCCTTTTTAAGGGCCAAAATCAGTGTGGAATGATGTGGACAATTGAGCTCCTTTCACTCTGAGTGAGCAGAGTTGCCGAGCCTGAAATCTGTCCAACCCAAGTGTTTTGGCTCTGTACAGGTTTCGGCGCTATCCAAAGCGCCGGGGTCGCAGAAAAAGGTCTCCTGAAACAGGTGTGCAGACCGTCACCCTAATGGAAGCTAAGGGTCTGGACCACGAAGTGCTTCCAACCAAGATATCTGGGGATCACTGTGAAATCGTGCGACTGGGTCCTCCAGTAGAGAGGTCAGAATAAGGGTACCATTTTTTTCTTTGTCCATTTTAGTAGGGGAACCCTCCCCTCAAAAAGGGTAAAAGGGCACTACTGGGGGACCTAGGTGATTTCAAGTCTCGGGCTCTTGGCTCAGGGATCCGGCCATGGCGCACAGGTCTTCCTGTTGGATTTCCGGATATGAGCCCTGCCACAAAGGATCCCTATGTTGAGAACTCATGGGAACCGCAAAAAATGGCTTCGGAGCCAACACCTCTCCTGCGTTTACACTTAAAGGCCCCAAACGATTCAACATGTTGAAGCCCCAGTTGTTTATTCAGCCTCTTCTTGGCTTCGCATTAAAGGGGAGCGCAGGCAGGTTATTTACCTACTTGATTAATTCATCAACTACTTTATGAAATAATTTGTTTACTTAGCTTACTTAACTTACTTGACTTACTTACCTTGCTTCTCTTACTTGACTTGCTTCACTTACTCAACTTGCTTCACTTACTGAACTTGATTCCCTTACTCAACTTGCTTGCTGTTTGCTTGCTTGCTTGCTTTCTTGCTTGCTTACTTACTTGCTCGACTCAATTCTAACTGAACTTAACTTACTGACTTAACTTAACTCCACTTAACTTATTTAACTTACTTGTCATTCTTTCTTACTTGCTTACTTATTGGCTTAACTTGACTGAACTTCATTCAACTCAACTTAACTTGATTCACTTACTTGCTTGCTTGCTTACTTATTCACGTACTCACATACACACATACACACATGCACACAGACCGCAAAGCCAGCGCCTCCTGTGACCAGGGTTGCAAGCTAGCTACCCGACGTGCCCTGATCGCATCTTTAAATGAGAATCTTGGGAAGTATGCTTTAAACTTATCAGCGTCGGCTGAAAGCGCAGGGCAACTCCATCATACCCTGCTATGTACAAACACGATGGGTAAGGCGCTCATGTCAATCACCCTCTCCTAGTGGGAATGGCATCCAGCAAGCACTGCAGAACTGTTTGATGGACTTGGAATGCAGCAAGGTGCAATGGTGTGACACCATTGATGGCAGCCTTCCCTGTGTCAGCACTGGCATCCAGCCAGCACTGCGCAACTTCCAGATAGCCATTTGCAGCAAACAAAGTAAACACTGTTGTCACTTTGGGTAGCCTTACTTCTTACTTCCCCCCCCAGAAAAGTGCAAGGTGAGAAAGTCACAAAGTTTGAACACTATCTTTGCCTCTGGTAGTTTTGCTTCTTTACTTTTCCCCAGTCAGAGTAAACAGCAAAACTGAAAATGCTTGGATCCATGAACTGCAAAGAGTAAACCAGCCCGAAGACAATGCAACTGCGGCTGCAGGCCGAAACATTTGTCATAACCTTGACCCGAGTGAACCTTGCAACACCTGGTTTGATTTTTTTTCTGGATTCGGACCCCCCCCCCCCCCGGGGCAAAAACAAGCAATGGCGTCGGTTTTCCTACTGATTTTCCTTTGCGACCAAAAGGGAGTACCCTCACAAAAAGGACACCCATTTCTGAGTCTCGGCCAATGATTTTCCGTCTCTAGTGGGCAACCGCGGTAGGCACCCCTGCTCATGGCTTCCCGCCACAGGGGGTGACGGCAAAAATCGCCGGGTATGTAGGGCGGCTTGTAATTTGGCCACCCTCAGCCTGCGACACCCCTGGGTTCCAAAGGTTCAGGCCCACCGGTAGAACCTACAGAAGCACAAAGGCTTCACAAAAGCTTAACTAACTTTATTTTTTTGAATAAAATATGTCACGTTGGTCAAAACAACCTAATAATCACCTAGTAGATTCTCCAACACCCATCGCCTAGGCTGTCGCCCGACCGTTTGGTCCGCCCCCGCCTCCGCGCGAGCATCGCAGGCGCCCACATGCAGCAGCACGCGGCTGGAGTTCCAGGTGGCCGGGATGCTCACCTGCGCGGATGGTGTTGTTTGCCTCCCGTAGCCCTAGGGGTTACGAACGCCCCCCATAACCCAGGTCTGGTGAAGCTCTGGGCCTGAATTGTCCCTTTGATTTCATCACCAAGAGGAAGTCCTCCTCCAGTGGAGAGGTTAGAATGAGGGTACCAACCTTTTTCTGTTTTGTCCATTTTGGTAGGGAAACCCTCCCCAAAAAAGAAACGGTAAAAGGGCACTGGGGGACCTAGTAACAATTGGCCCAAGGGGAATTTGGATGAGAATCCTTAAGCTAATAGGTGGTGGAATACGAACCCAATCACTGTTTTAATGCTGGTAACGAACCGCAGGGGAAAAAGATGGCGATTCAATTTCCGAGAACTCAAGCAAGGTTGGGAAATTGAGACATCTACTCCCATCCATCTGTACTCACTGTGGATGGAAAAGAATCTGCACCAAGGTTGATGCCCCGATTGGGAACCTGCACCTTCCTGAATCTTCGTTTGCACACTTTTTTCTGCTCAAATGCTTGTTTGCGCGTTTTGCGCGCTTTTATGTTTTTTGCGGATTTTGAGGGATTTGCGCACTTTTCGGATGAAACTCCTCTGGTAGAGAATTCGGCACTGCTTGTGTAAACAACCGATACCGCGCTGCTCGTGCCCGTGTCGGCGCAGCTGTTTGTTGAAGTCCTTGATGTTTACAGCATATCTAGCTCTTCTTTGTCTCCACCCAAGCCTGTTTTAGGCAGGAAATTTGTGGCACACCCGGCACAAGTACCAGCTATATATATCACTTGCACTTGACACTTTGAGGCCATTGATTTAGCAACCCGCGTGGCTCCGTCAAGAGCTCCCAGCCCGTAAGTATTGCCTGGGTTTGCACGGATACGCTGTTTGCTCCAGAACTGTGCTTGCGCCACATTGTTGTTGAGACAAGTCGCTGATAGGTGAAATTACTCGATTTTCGGCGCCTTGCCAGCCCGCAATTTGCGCGCAAAAATCCGGTACTATCGCGCCAATATCCGCAATTGCGCGCAAATTCGAAAAGTGTGCGCATGTATGCGTGCGTTTTTGACCTTTTAATTAGGCAGCAGATGTCTAAAGCGCCCGAATTGCCAACCAAAAGATCGGTTTTGAGCCACATGTGGTCGTCGCTTGAAGCTGCGCCACTTGCAAGAGCCGTTCGAATTTCTTGCAATTTCAAGGAGTTGAAACTTGTTTCACTTGACTGTCAAGCTGGCTTGGATCATCTAGGCGAGTTCTGGCCGATTAGGCGCATGTATCCTTGCCTATAGTTGTTTTTGAACAGCTTGACAGGTTCATGTCCAGGCTATACACACCCCGCACCTTTTTCAAACCAGCCAAAAATCCCTCGTGCAGTTCTTTTGAAACGCGCACTTTTCCGTTGTGCGCACTTTTTTTTTGCTCAAATGAAGATGCAGGTTCCTGTCTCGGAATCCAGAAAATCACCAAGCACCGGTAAAAAAGGCTGGTTGTTGAGAAGAACGATGGCTGACGGAATAGGAAATCAACCCGTAGAACCATGGTTGCGGACCAATTCGAAAGTGAACCGCCCCTTTGGGTCCCGGAAAGAAACTTGAAGGAAGTCAACTCGCAGCTATCCAGAAAACGACACTTTTGTCAGCGGTCGACCTTCACAAACACCTATATGTAAATAGTAAAACTTCACCATTCACAACTGGACAGCCGGGAAACGAAACCCAAACCAAAGCGCTAAGACCTAGGTTACAACCCGCTTGCAACTGGATCAACTCTCTCAGAAGGGACTTTTGAACAGTTTATCATTGAAGATAATCTCACTGCCTAACACCCAAGTAGCGTATCTTTGTAGTCTGTAGACCTTTTGAACTCGTAGGCGAATTGAAACAAACAAGTCTTTCTCAAAAGGTGAAGAACCAACTGGTTCCTGAAAAAAGCCCAAACGCCAGGGGAATCACATTCAAAACCCGGTATAAAAATAGTCTACCCAACATGTGCAGAGTTTCCAAGGCGGATATCCGCACCCATGTCTGGCCGGTGTTGAAAATTGTCCCTTCCCCTCCAATTATCCGAATCTGTTTTTTTGCGGACGTGGCTCAGGCGGAAATCCACCTGACGCGGCCCGGTTCGCGTCGCGGCCTGGCGCTGGTACCAGAGCGCCAGGCTCTTCTTCAGCGCCGGCGCCAGCGGCGCCGGCTCCAGGCCCAGCTTCTTCCTGGAGCTTTACACATATCTGTATCTATATATATGCTACCCCCCCCCCCCCCAGGGACCTACCTTTTGGCTGCCTCTCCAGTGCATGAATTGCCCATCTAGGACTGGGAGGAACGATCTCTCAACTAGGACCAGGACCAAATGAGACTAGAACCCAGGATCTCTGAACTGGGACTAGGACCAAACTAGGACTAGACGACCCACCTCAGATTCTTACAAAAAATGAACTTCAAGTATAACTTCCTCTGCAATGTCCTGTATATTTTCTAATTGTTGCAGTAAACTAGGGAGCAACCTAACACTAGAACCAAGGATCTCTCATCTAGGACCAAACTAGGACTAGACCATTTAATTCTACTTCTTATAGTATTTGGATGTCAAGTATTACATTCTGGTGGAAAAAAAGTCCTGTTTAATATTTGGTCCTAACATGTAAATTCTGACTGGATATTCTCCTTATTTCAAATTCAATTGTTCAGCTAGAAGTTGCATAGAACTTGACTAATATATTAACTACAATTCAACGAACTTCCTTTGTAATGTCCTATATACGTTCTATGTATTTCAGTAAGCTGGGACCATACTTGGCCTATAACCAAGGATCTCCCAACTAGGACTAGGACCAAACTAGGACTAGCTAGTTCTGAAAGTGATTGAATTTCAATGTACAATGGTCTATTGGACAGAAAATAGTTTGTACCATTTAATTTGACATAAACAGTCAATATTTAAGTTCGAATCTAAATCGCAATTTTGGCTGGAGTATGTCGTTCTTAAGCTCCATTGAATTTCAATCAGAAATAAGGTTGAATTTGATAAAACATACTAAGTGGAATGCATAAGGAACGAATCCAAAGGTCCCAAACTTGTGTCTTTCACTAGTCCTAACACTACCTTGGTCAGAAAACACCGTAAAACACAGTGTTGTGTAGCGTTTTTCATACTCAATTCACATCTCCACCAACGAACGCCCTCTAAATGCTCATTTGAACTTGAACAGAATTTAATTGGGACTCAATACGGAAATATTTGGTCAGAATCCTAATAGTAATCAAATTTGAGATTGCGAGTTTAAATAGAGTTCATTTCCCAATATATACTTGCAATTCAATATGAGCTTTAACATGATTTGATAAGGAAAGAACCCATATTCTCTAGACAAGTCTTCTTTGCAAACGCGAGTCCAGGCCCGAGTGAAACCCATTGAGACCGACTGAAATTTCAGTTGAGCCTGGGTTCAAGATTCCCTAGAAAACTTTGACCTGCAATCTTGAATGTGGGCCTAGATTGAAACAGGTTGAATGAATAATCAGGACTTGGATGCTTGCACAACACTGTGCTAAAGTACAGCCGCGCAAAGTGCAATGTTGAATTTGGGTCTCGGTTTAAACCGATTTAAACCGATTTAACTTAAATCGGGCATGGATTCAAGATTCAAGAATCCAGGCCAAACTTTTCCAGGGATTCTTGAATCCAGGCGTCGATTTAAACCGATTTAAACCGATTTAACTTAAATCGGGCATGGATTCAAGATTCAAGATTCAAGAATCCAGGCCAAACTTTTCCAGGGAGTCTTGAATCTTGAATCTTGAATCCATGCCCGATTTAAGTTAAATCGGTTTAAATCGGTTTAAATCGACGCCTGGATTCAAGAATCCCTGGAAAAGTTTGGCCTGGATTCTTGAATCTTGAATCTTGAATCCATGCCCGATTTAAATTAAATCGGTTTAAATCGGTTTCAATCAAGCCTGAAGCTTCCAGAACGTCCTTGGAAATGCTTCTTTTTCATTGCTCTCCCCAAAGCCCAAAAAAGGGTTGAACACACTGCAAATACTAGTGAATTCATCAAAAAGGTAGGTCCCTGGGGGGGGGGGGTACCATATATATATATATATATGTATATATATATATAATACACATATGCTACCCCCCAAATGTCTACATTCGTTTCTAGTTTCAATGATATTTGCAGTGTGTTCTGCCTATATATATATATATATATTTATAAATCACAAAAATGGTGTGGTAGCAAAACACGATATCTTTTGAAGCCCGCCAATTCCCCGCCCCAGAAAAGAATGAACAGAACCAACAAAACAAACAACTTGCCAAGACCAGAGAGAATGAATATATATATATATATATATATGTATATATACATATATTCACGTATATATATATATATACAATTTATATAACAGATTCACCAAACACATGGCATGTCGTAGGCTCGGTACCCATTTCGGCGGACCTGCGATGCCTCGCGATCGCTCCTCCGGGCATCCGGCAGCTGCGCCAGCGCGCCGGAGAGCTGGGACTGGAGGCAAAAGGGCACCTCGAGCGATGGGATCCCATGGATGTGGGCACGTGCCGCGTGTCTTTTTTCTTCTTCTTTTTCTCCGGCGCCTGCTGTTTTGAGGGTTTGGGAAAACAAAGGGAAAGGTTCTTTCTTGGTGCTGGGCAGGGAATGACCCCAGGATCAGGGCGCAGGGGGCCAACCGGCCGCGGAACGCAAAGAACATCTTTTCGCCCCCATAACTTGCTGAGAGATGTTCATTTCGGAAAAAGTAGGGTCTAGACATTGTGACTCTGGTCGATTCCACTGGTGAAGAAGCCAAAGACCAAGATTTGGGTGTGTGTCAAAAACAAGGATGTAGACCCCCCGCCTACATGGCATCGGTTGTCTTTTTGGTTTCCCTTTAAACCAACGTGAAAAGGTGCACCGAGCCAGAGCACCCCATTGAAAGGGTGGACCTCCACCTGGTTGACACCTGCATTTGGGCCAACTGTCTTATGTGAATTCCCTTAGCAAGCTGAACAACCTCTTGCAGCTTAGGGTGGATCTCACTGAACAGCTGACCACCCAGTTTCGGCTTCCCTCTTGAAGTTCTTTCGAGCGTTTGGGTTTCTCAAAACCAGGGATTCAAGTCCCCAATCGCCACCACCGGTTCGGTTTTTGCTGGGACAGTCAGATTTTCCTAGACCGGGGAAGGCAGGGACACAAGTGGTGAAATGATAAGAGATTTCCCGTGACCTGGGACATTTATTGAGTCACCTGCTTTTTGTGGGACAACTCCTGAATTCTCCTCCCAAATGTACCGGATTTTTGAACCCAGCCTCAAAGAACCATAGGCTGCTTGCAGTTTTGGCCAAACCTATAGGAAACCGGGACATCTAGGGCAGCTAACCGGGGAAGAGCACTAGATGTCTAAAACAGGACCCACTGTTGGCTGGCCTTTAGAGGGACACCACATGGAGCCCCGGTTCCATGTGATGTACACGAATGATCAAAATGAGCCAACCAACAATGCCCAGCTCAGGGAATAAAAACATTCGCTTGTCCAAACAAACACATTCCAAGTGATCGATTCCTTTTAAAACCAAGGCAATCGTTCACACATCTTCTGACACGTAAATATCCGCAGACTTTGAGTCTTCCTTCCAACCAAAGGCTCACTTGCCTAAAGGACCTCGAGATAAAGGGCGATCAGCTTTTGGGCCGTTTACCATGGAAGGAAAACCAGGGGTCTCCGGATGTCCCCTTTACCAAGCTGCAACTTAGCGGCCTCCGCTAAAACGAGCGGCACTTTGGAGGTTCCCATTAAAAGGGAAACGGCTCAGACACCCCGGAAAGCTTCAAACGCGAAATGTTTCCGGTCCATTCGCTTTGAGCCCCCGATCCATCCCGATCCTCCGCGAGGCGCCAAGATGTCGCCGTCCCACGCCGACGGCGCCGCGCTCCTCGCGGGGCAGATGGCGAAGCGCCACTTGCCGTTCAGGCTGAGCCAGCGGTCCCCGGACCGCCGGAAGAGCGGAAACGGATGCTCCGGGCCTTCGGAAGCGCGTCGCGGAGGTGGGCCGTTGGGATGGTTTCTTGGGCAAACACCCGACTCCCATGGTTCATGTTTAGTAAAACACGTTCAAAAAAACAACAAGCAGCATGTTTTGGGATGGGGAAACCAAAGTGAAAAGGGCAAGTGAGGTCATGGCCGTGGTTGCCCAACAAACAAAGGGAATCCTTTTCATGGTTGTCAAAAGCACTTGTACAAGGGACCATGACCTCGCTAACCCCAAGCAGAGGTTTCAAAAGGAAGTGGATATGCTTGGAGTGGCTGTCCCAGGAGTAGCCATAGCAACCTATCGGGAATGGACCCACGGCTTACGGGGCTGTGGTCGTGGGTCCCTTAAGCTTTGCCGTGATTCATGGTTGTTTAAAGCCTCTATGAGGGTGTGTCTTCTGTTTCTGGGGGTACTTGGTACCCCATTGTTTGCTGTGTGGTTTATGTACTTAATGCAACGCAAATGGACAAAGACACACCTCATCCGCGATGGTCAAAACACCCTGATGTCAACTTCGTATTGATCCAGACACCGGTTGGAGGACCCCTTTTAGTGGATGATTTCGCCTCAGAAGGGGGGTTGTCTCCGGATTGCTTGGGATTCTGACCACTAGAAGTAACTGGTCAGCTGTCAGGATTCCCGAAAGAAAAAGCAATGCCTCCCAGTTTACACTTTCAACATCGAGGGAACGCCACTTCCGATAAAGTGGAACTCCCATCCCCAATTTATCACGGTCCTTCTTTCGGGGTTAGGGAATGTCATCAAGCCTACATCTCTCAATGGGGTACTCTCAAAGCATAGCCAGATGGAGATCACCAAAGCTTCAAAGCAGGTTAGGTTGCTTTTACTGGCTCAAAAGTCAAGAGCGGGTGTGGGCAAACCCCAGGTCTTAGTCAGTTTGGTTAGATTTACCTTTGGGTGCCATTTCATTTTGGGCTCACTTTTTTTGCGGTTTCCCCAGCCAGGTTGCCGAAACCCCATCACCCTTTTGCGGCACAGCGGCGCGGTATGGCTTCCGATGTTTCTGCCGGCATTAGGCCATGGCTCCAACAAGACCGGGTTGCTACTTGGATGCTCAATTCGCCAAAAGTGGCCCACGCCACCTGAGTTATAACCTGCCAATGACTGGGGTAACCTGACTTAAGGAGGCTTAGCGGGATATTACCTGGGTTGCCAGCACCTTACTAACCTGGCGAATCGAACACGCAAGTAGCCGAGCTCTGGCTACACACATGATTCAGTGAGGCCTTATAGCAGATGAGTATGTGTCAAAATAGGGGTATTCCCAAAGATGGTCGGTTTCATGTTCGTTTCCCTTTCACTCCAAGAGGGGTGCCCTCGAAAAAGACACACCCATATACATTCTCATAGTCTGGAAACAGGGAAACTATAAGGTTAAAAGGTCGGCTTTGGGCAAGTGAGAAATGTCCTTTGTGCTTCACTTTACGCAATATGAGCCAACCACATCCTATCTCTACCCCAACTTCGATTCTTTGTACCTAAACAAAATGAGAAGAGAGCCACCAAAGATGAACATGACATGACCAAACATGCCAAAACCAGTGGAGGATGGTGGAATGCTCACCGGGAAAACAGGTTGCAACAACTCTGGGAGCCAACCCACGATCAACATTCCTTGTTGCGAAGCTCCATCTTTGTCCAAACGATATGTTCACACGTTGTTGGGTAATTAATTAAGCACAGAGTTAGTAGGCAGCTTTACGATTCTACGAGCATGCTTCTTTTTGAAGGTCAAATCAAAGAGAAAAGACGTATAAGCTAGCATTTGAATAGGTTTTGGACCAATCAACAACTCTCTTGCCCGTCCCCTTGTTGGCCCGAGAAGTCAAACATGTTTGGCTTCTTTGCACCATCCCTTGTGGCTCACCGCTGGCTTCGAGCCGCCCGAGTCAAGCCTGCGGCATGCCCGACGGAGTGGAAAAACATGGTCCTTGACCAAAGAAAACCAGACAGATTCTCTCAGCCGGAGACGTGATTCATCGTATCGGATCGGAGAACCCCTGTGGTTGGAACGCCGGTGCTGGTTTCATATACCTCCAAGAGGATGGAGCTGCAAAACCGAATTCCGGGCTCCTCTGGAGGTTTGAGGACTCCCCAGTGGCAATTTCAAGACCCTGGTGCAGCCAAACTGACCCAAAAAGACACTCGGTCGTGTCTTGTTTTGAGGGCACCCTTGTTGGGGTTGTTGTTGAAGGGAAGCCAAGAGGAACCACCTGTGTTTGGGGTGCCCTATTTTGAGACCACCCCCCCCAGAGATGGACTCGGGCGTGGGGCGGAAAAAAACAGATATCGCTACCCTCGCGGTTTCCTTCTTTAACATTGCGGTAGTTCAAAATAATGGTTGGAATCAATCCCATGGAATATACCCCACAAACATCCGTATATATAAATATAGATGTGTATCCGATGCAACTATAATAACACTACTAACAAAACACCCGTGGAATATATACATATATATATATATGCATATCTGATACGATCATGATTATTAATATGCCAATCATATTCCTAGTCAGAATCGAAATCATGATACTAGCAATAGTGCACATGACGCAAAAGCCAACAAATCTTTCACCCGCGCACAAACAAACTTGAACGAGAAAACCGTCTCCCCTTCCCTTGCGAGCGAAAGAAACCCCATTGAGCCTTGGCCGGACGAGATGAGCCTTGGCAGCGACGAAGGAGGCATGTCAGGAATGACAGAGGTTGTGATGGACCCCTAGTAGGGTTGATTTGACACATACCTTGAATTCACTTCTGTTAACGGTTAGTGTACGCGAACATGTAATTGTTTCCCATGGGATCTCAAAATAGAATGTGACCAAATGGTGGTGCGCTCGTCGGACCAAGCAAATGATGATTGTACTGGGACATGAAGCCAGGTGGCTTCTGTTGAAACGATAGCCACTTTCGGAGGTTCCAAAAAAAAGAGGGATCCCTGGCAGACCCACCACCTTGTTGGACGCTCGCTTGCCAAATCCAAGACCTAAAGAAACGGAGTCCTTAAAACTTCTTCTTAAACCACCTTGCCCTTTCAGAGGCCCAAAAGGTGATATTTCAAGAACCGGGACGAAAGCGACTCAGATATCTGGACACGTCCAAGAATTCCATGAGCCCTCACTGACGCTTGGAAGCCGCTCACACCATTTTGGCCGAATCGACCACACAGGTTCCCGAAGATCCCCCAAGCTTTGCCTTTTGCTTTGCCAACCAATGCCTTCTTTCCGACAAATCGACATACCGACGACCAGCGCGATGCGTCGACCCCTTGAAAGATCTTCGGGAAGGAAGTTGTGGGGTCCCTACAGTCCCTACGAATTTGCTAACGTCGCGCCCGTGCACCTGGCGCGTGAAACGCTCCTCCGAGCATGCGCTCGGAAATAGCTATACCCGCAGCCCGTGGCCCTCGGAACCGATGG